TATCTAAGACCACCAAGGAGGTATCTCTTTGAGTCTGCAAGAACTACAGTATTACTGGGCTTTGGGTATTCCTAATGCAAATATGGCTTAGACAGCAACGCTCAAGTATCTTCAAATATCTGGAAATACGTCTGGCAGCAAACTTTTCAATGGAACCTTACAGGCCAGGATAGAATGGCATAACATATTTAAAGTGCTGAAGAAAAAGCATTTAACCTAGAATAATATATCCAGTGAAAATATCCTTTAGACATGAAGGAGAAATAAAGACTTTCCAAACTCATTCTATAAGGCCAGTATTAACCCTGATCCCAAAATCAAAGACACATCAAAAAAGAAAACAACAGGCCAATATCTCTCATGAATATTGATGCAAAAATCCTCAATAAAATACTAACAAACCTAGGCCAGGCTTGTGCCTATAGTCCCAGCACTCTAGGAGGCCAAGGCCAGAGGATTGCCTGAGCCCAGGAGTTCAAGACTAGACTGACCAACATGGCAAAAACCCATCTCTACAAAAAAATACAAAAATTAGCTGGGCATGGTGGCGCATGCCTATGGTCCCAGCTACTTGAGAGGCTGAGGTCGGAGGATTGTTTGAGCCAGGCTGAGGCTGTAGTGAGCCATAATCATGCCATTGCACTCAAGTCTAGGCAACAGAGTAAGGCCCTGTCTCAACAAACCAAAGCAAATCAAACCTTATATACATATAAGCTCACTAGGCCAGAGCTTAATACATTTACATTTAAAGTAATTACTGATAAGGAAGGTTTTACTTTGACTTTCAGCTACTGAATTTTTTAAGAGTCTTACTTTTCTGTTCCTCAATTTCTCCATTACTGCCTTTTTTGGTATGTAGCTGAATTTTTAGAGTGTACTGTTTTGAGTCCCTTCTTTCCTTTTCTGTATATTTTTAGTTATTCTCTTACCGGTTACTTTGGGGATTACATCCTAAACTTGTAACATCCTAGTTTGAATACCACCTTAGTTTCAACAGTAAACAAACATACTCTGCTCCTATACATCGGCATCCTTCCCCTTTGACAATTATTATTGTCACAGATTACAGCACTGTGTGCCCATTGATACATATTTATAATTATTGTTTTATGCATTTTTTAATTCACATAGGAAAAATAAGGAGCTACAAACCAAAAGTGCAATAATACTGGTTTTTATATTAGCTACATAGTTACCTTTACCAGTATTATTCCTTCATATGGCTTTGAGTTAGTATCCTTTCATTTCAGCCTGCAGGACTGCCTTCAATATGTTGTGGAGAGCAAGTCTACTAGTAAAAAACTCCCCCTAGCTTCTGTCTATTTATGTCTTCATTTCTTTTTCATTCTTGAAGGGTGGTTTTGCCAGATATAGAATTCTTCATTGACAGATTATTTTTTCTTTCAGCACTTTAAACATGTTGTTTCACCGCCCTCTTGCCTCCTTGGTTTCTGATAAGAAATCAGCTGTTAATGTTGTCTAGGATCCCTTGGATGTATATGATGAATCACTTCACCTGCTGCTTTCAAGATTCTTTGTCTCTTAAGGTTTGATAGCTTGACTATTATGTATCTCAGTGTGGATCTTTTTGAGTTTAACTTGCTTGGAGTTCACTGAGCTTCTTGGATTCATGTATATTCATATGTTTCATTGGATTTTGGAAGTTTTCAGTAATTATTTCTGTGAATAGTCTTCTGTCCCTTTCTCTCTCTTCTCCTTCTGAAACTCATATTATGCATGTATTAGTCCACTTGATGGTTTCTCATAGTTCTCTTCGGCTCTGTTCACTTTTCTTCATTATTTTTTCTTTCTACTTCTCAGCCTTGAAAATTTCAATTACCCTATCTTCAGATTTGCAGATTCTTTTTTCTGCTGGCTCAGAACTGCTGCTGAACCCATCGATTAAATTTTTTCACTTCAGTTTTGCACTTTTCTGCTCCATCATTTCTATTTGGTTCCTTTTTTATAATTTCTATCCCTTTATTGTTATTCTCATTTTGTCTGGTTTCCTTTTGTTTTTTGTACATGATTTCCTTTAGCTCTTTGAGTATATTTAAGACCGCTGATTTAATATCTTGGTCTAGTAAGTCCAAAGACTGTGCTTCCTCCGGGACCTCACCTTAACTTACCTACCTCTGTGAAAACCCTATCTCTAAATACAGTCAACTTCTGAGGTACTGGCAGTTAGGTTTTCAACATAAGCATTTGGTGGGGGAGCACAATTCAGCCCCTAACTTGCGTTTTCTTTTTTTTAATTATGAAAGAAATTAATTTAACAAAATGGAAAAAGCAAATATTTTCACTAAAAATGCATTGGAGCTTCCTAATCAAAATATGTAAAGAACTGACAGATATTTACAAGGTCAATACTCCAACTCTACTTGACGAGTGGTCTTGAAAAGGTAGGAAATGAAGACATTAAACCAATACAAAGTAAAATATCAATTTGTAAAGAAAAGGGAATTAACATTAGTCTCTAGTGCCAATCTTCACATGCTAAATGAACAAAAGTAAATAAAATGACAAGAGGATTGTGAAACAGATACATCTACATACTGATAGCCCAATCTTTCTGGCAAGCAATCTGTCAAAATGTCACAGAAGATACAGAAACGTTTTTAACCCTTGTCCCTATAGTTCCAAAGATGGGAAATATCCCCAGAGAGTAAAATCTTTTTTAAAACAGTAAGAGCACTGTTGTATTACTGAGACATTATTGGAAACAACTCAAAGACACAGCACTGAGAATGAAGAGGCTAGAAATATGAGAACATTTTACAAATATATAAACTATGTAGACACAAGGAAATGTTCAAGTAAAACAAGATTAAAGACTGGGGTCAAGGGGCAGATGTATATACAGGGGGGTGTGTGTGTGTATAAATCTCATGTCATTCCCTTAGTTAAAATTCTGCAGTGTCGCCTCCCCACATAGAGATTCACAGAGCACTTCATCATGTTGTTCCTGTCACATTTCTAGACCAATTTCTCACTACTCCATTATTCATTCTACCCTCCACCCTTGCTAAAGTACTTGCAGCTTCTCAAATTTGGCATACCTTCTCCCGCCTCTTGCTTAGAATATTCCCCCACCTTCTTCTTGTAACAAATTCCAGCCAATTCTCCCTTTCAGACCTAACTCAGACAGCTGTGTCTGACCTAACTGTGTCTCCCTTTCAGACCTAACCCATCAGCCAGGGTTGTGCACTTCTCTGTACCTCCAATTATTCTGTACAATCCTTTATCATACCACTTCTTCTATAATAAGTGTTAATGTACATGCTGTTTTCCCCCACTGAACTGTGAGCTCCTTGAGGAAACCATTGTTCATATATGTGTCCTCAGAGTCTAGAACCATAAGAACAAAAGTTTGGTGAATGAAGTGAATGATAAACAGTAAATGAAGATTTTTAAGAATGTGGATTTTTTTCTTGTAAAATTACTTACATAGGCAATTTTAAAGTGCCATTTTAAATAAATATGGATATTTTAAGTATAAACATATTTTCTTTTCAGGATAATTTTTCTTCAGGTTAGTCAGCAGCTTCTTAATGGCTGTTGTTACATATCATCAGACTACAAGCTGACTTGCCTCAAGTCACCAAGCAAAAATGTTATCGTCAACATTTTGGGAAACTTGTCCTTTACATGATGTCCTTAACATGCTCTCTCAAAATTGTTTATTCACAAACCTAATCCAGTCCTTCAGTTTTACATGAGAAATATAAACCAAGAAGTCAGATAATAAGATTAGCAAAGAAAGAACTTTATCCTTTCTCTTAGTGATTTAGAGGCAGACAGGATGTAAAACCTTCCACAGCTAGGATTTGCCTGCATGTAGCCTACCATGTTGTATTTAGGAAGGAAGAAATGACTCCCTGCGTGAGGAGAGGAGAGGGAAAAAAAAAGTAAAACGTTCTCTTGGGGCAGAAGACTTTCAAGAAATAAATCCCTTTCTAGTCAGTTTAGTACTAACAGCTGCCGAGAGGAGGGGAAGTCCACACTGAGGGAAACTCAAACAGGCCTGGAGGTTTCTTTATGAGAGAAACTTCTCCTCTCACAAGTAAAAAAGGAAGGCTCTTATCGTCCCCGCGACAGCCAGTCACCCTGGATAATTAAACAGAACACCTCGATTCCACAACCAAAAAGATTCAAGGGGGAGGCTGGGCTACACCCGTGAAAACTAAGAATTCCACTTGGTAAAGTTCTTTGGGGTCACATCAGCATTTGGATCCCCTACGGACACAGAACTGGAATTTTTCAAGGCACAGGAAGTTAAAATTCTTGTCCAAAAAGGAATTGGTAACTGCTGATTTCAACTCTAGACCATCCTTGGCTCCATTCCCAGGGCTGTGAGAAAAGCCTGCAACATCCTCTCACCAGGTTTCTGTTTCTCCTAAAAGCCTTGTCTAGCCATAAATGCAATGATCAATGGGATTTTCTCCTTCCTGCTGCCTGCTTCCTGAGAGAAGGTGGCTGCTCTCAGACGTTGCATGACAAGTTCCTAAACGAAGCCCAGGAAACTAGTGTCTGGACAGGCCTGAGCTGAGAGCAGCGGCCCCAGCCTGCTCGGAGGGGCCCTACCCTACCATGGCAGAACAGTTTCAACATGAAGCAGGGTCAGGCGAGAGAAGCCTTCCCATTCCGCTTGCTACCTCAGAAAATTAGCCGCTTTTTGGGTAATAAATAAGATCTGGCCTCAGTGACTCCTAACTGACCCCCACACCTCCTTTCTCTTATCCGAAGGGCCTTTGTCCCAGTCACTGAAGCCCACGGCCCAGGGTTACCCGGAAGCCCAGTGCCCTGGCCCTTCTGGGGCCGTCCTTACCTGCTGGCCTCACCCAAGCCTCGTGTGAAACCTGCAAAACAGGCCTCTCTGCTCATGGCCACCGCCCCTGAGAACTTTCCCACCCACCCCCAAAAGCACGGCCATCTCGGCTGGGGAGGCTGCGGGCCGCTCAGGGGACAGAGAGGAGCGATCCCGAAGGCACAACCACTACCTTTTGCCCCCAAAGTGCTTCTCTTCGCCTCCGGCTGGATCAGCACTGGCAGCAAAGGTACCCAGTGGAACCACGAGCAGCACCAGCGAGCGTTGAGAGCTCCGGATACAACCTCCTCACGAAAGAAGGTTCTGGAAGATCGGTTGGCTGGGCATGCGCAGTACATGCACCTCGGGCCCGGCTGTCACTGCGTGTGAGGCCCCTGGAGCCAGGCAGCCCTTTGCAGACCCCGTCCAACTTCCAGACCTGCTGTGCTAGCTCCCAGCTCCTTCCCTCGTGTGTGTGCGCTTACTGGGTGCCAGGCACCGTGTTCAGCACCATGCTCAGACGGGGACCCTCGCAGGCCTTCCTTGCCTATTGGCGGAAGGAAATGTTAACCATAGGGTCGCAAGGAAACGTAGCGTTGCCGCGGACACAGGCTCAGCGAGGTCTCTGTAAGTGTGCCGTGAGAGCTCCTCTGGGGTTCAGGGAAGTCTTCCCAGGGAAATGATGCTGGCCTGGGTAACTATGGTAAATAACTGCTATGCAGGAGGGCAGGAATGAGGAGCATGCACAGTCTCTCCAGGCAGAAGAATGGCATGAGCAAAAACAGTGCCATGGGAAGGAGCATTGTCCCCTTTGAAAACTGAGAGAAGGGCCGGATGCAGTGGCTCACGCCTGCAATCGCAGCACTTTGGGAAGCCTAAGCCGGCAGATCACCTGAGGTCAGGAGTTCGAGACCAGCCTAGGCAACATGGTGAAACCCCATCTCTACGAAAAATACAGAAATTAGCCCGGCATGGTGGCAGGTGCCTGTAATCCCAGTTACCTGGGAGGCTGAGGCAGGAAAATCGCTTGAACCTGGGAGATGAAGATTGCGGTGAGCTGAGACTGCACCATTACACTCCAGCCTGGGCAAAAAGAGCAAAACTCCGTCTCAGAGAGAAGAGAAAAGAAAAGAAAAAAGAGAAGAAAATAAAAGAAAAGAAGAAGGGAGGGGACAGGAGGGGAAGGAGAAGGAGAAAAGAAAAGAAAACTGAGAGAAGACAAAATGATGGGAGCAGAGAGCTGTGCAAGAAGAGGCTGGAAAGGAGGGTAGCACCGACAGTGCTGGGTCTTAGTTTTTATCCTAAGAAATTTCCTTCCTCCTTTCTTTGCTGGAAAGAACAGCCACAAGTCCTGTGATGCTTTGCTGTTGACAATCTGTCCTTGGCATTAATCTTAACACCCCATGAGGTCTAATAATTTTCTTAAATGAGGGAGATGAGGCTCACAAAAATTAAGTATTTTGCACACAGTCATTAAGTAGTAAAGCAGGAACGTGAACCTATCTCCACTCTATGCATTGCCACAGTCAGTACCAAAATTAAGCATGAGCAAATGGATAAGCTGTATCAATGGTCGCCACATGTTTTCTTCAAAAAGAATTCTGTAATTCCATTTAAGTATTAATAATCTGTATAGAAGCCAGTCAAAAAATGTGCACCATGTGACATAAAATGCTAGTATCCATTTTCCTCCAATTCTACAGCTTGCATTGTCAATGAGAGAAGGGGTAAATTGCTCCCAAGGGGGACAAAAATCGGTTCTTGGAGAGCTAAAAAATCTTAGATATTACAATGACTAGTGGCCTACCAAAGTTCAACCCTACCCAACAAAATCTGATTTCTTAGCATTTGATTTCTCTCTTTAGGAAGAAATTAAATTTAGTTTTCATTTAGCTGAGTCCATAATGAAAAAAGTTAAGAAACATTGTTTTACAATAATGAAATCTCCAGTCTTTAGCTAGTCAACGAAAATAAAGATCACATTTCTTAACTTCCCCTACAGCTAGGTGTAGCCGTGTGATTAAGGCCTGCCCCCTTAGGAGGTGATAGAAAATGATGAGTACAACTTCTAGGATGTCTACAAAGGAGAGACATGCCCTTTTTCTGCCTTCTCACCATCCTATACTTGGAAATTGTACATGGTGGCAAGCCACCTTTGGCCATGTGCGTGAGGGCAGCAATCCAGAGATGGTGACAACACAAGAAAGGAGGAGCCTGGAAGACCTCATGGGAAAGAGCCACCATCCAAGTGCTAATCCACCTATGTCTTTCAGGGAGAAATAAGCTTCTGTCTTAACCACTGTTTTCTGTTGTTGTTGTTTATTTTTTTATTTTTCCGTAAGTTATTGGGGTACAGGTGGTATTTGGTTACATGAATAAGTTCTTTAGTGGTAATTTGTGAGATTTTGGTGCACCCATCACCCAAGCAGTATACACTGCACCCTATTTGTAGTCTTTTATCCCTCACCCCTCTTTCACTCTTCTCCACAAATCCCCAAACTCCATTGTATCATTCTTACGCTTTTGTGTCCTCATAGCTTAGCTCCCACATATCAATGAGAGCGTATGATGTTTGGTTTTCCATTCCTGAGTTACTTCACTTAGAATAATAGTCTCCAATCTCATCCAGGTCACTGCAAATGCCATTAATTCATTTCTTTTTATGGCTGAGTAGTAGTCTATTGTGTATATATATACCACAGTTTCTTTATTCACTCATTGATTGTTGGGCATTTGGATTGGTTCCATGATTTGGCAGTTGTGAATTGTGCTGCTATAAACCTGCATGTGCAAGTACATTTTTCAAATAATGACTTCTTTTCTTCTGGGTAGATACCCAGTAGTGGGATTGCTGGATCAAATGGTAGTTCTACTTTTAGTTCTTTAAGGAGTCTCCACACTGTTTTCCATAGAGGCTATGCTAGTTTACATTCCCACCAGCAGTGTAGAAGTGTTCCCTGATGACCATATCCACACTAACATCTGCTGTTTTTTAACTTTTTGATTATGGCCATTCTTGCAGGAGTAAAGTGGTGACATATTGTGGTTTTGATTTGCATTTCCCTGATCATTAGTGATGAGCATTTTTTCATATGTTTGTTGGCCATTCGTGTATCTTCTTTTGAGAATTGTATTTTGATGTCCTTAGCCCACTTTTTAATGGGGTTGTTTGTTTTTTTCTTACTGATTTGTTTGAGTTCATTGTAGATTCTAGATATTAGTCCTTTATCAGGTATATAGATTGCGAATATTTTCTCCCACTCTGTAGGTTGTCTGTTTACTCTGCTAACTGTTCCTTTTGGTGTGCAAAAGCTCTTTAGTTTAATTAGGTCCTAGCTATTTATCTTCGTTTTCATTGCATTTCTTAGCCACTGTCAATTTGGGTCTCTTACATGCAACTGACCCCTTATGCTAACCAATCTAATAATTTAAAAAATAATAAACAGTAGCAGGAATGACACAAAATGAGCTTACCACTAGTAGAAAATGATCTGGTCCCAGAGGCAATTCAGGTGCTTTAAGTTGTTAGGTGGGCAATATAAGAAAATATCAATGTAGCCATCTATTATGCAGAAGAACATGCCATAAATAGTAAGGGAATTTGAAAAGTATATTACTTATCTGGACTTTAATATTTCCCATCTGGAAACCACATCTCCAACCCTTGTTGTATAACATTAGCATATTCATTATATAACCTATTCTTCACACAGGTGAGCAGCTGTGAATATGCTAAAGGCTATCAGTGTTGCTAGTTTCACATCCCTTACTATAAACCACTCATTTATGTGAAATGGAAATAAAAACATGCAGAAATTCCCTTGGATCTGAGACTAGGGTTTCCCCCAGCACAATCAAGTTTGTGGTTAATTTAGTTAGCTCAGCTAAAGATGCTAGCCAATCAGAGTTTAGGAGAGAAATGAATTTCCTAAATAAATATGATTCCCAAAATGTGTTCTCTAAAGAATTTCTCAGGCTCAAAATCCAATACAGGAGTGACTTGGAACTCCATTCTATCACTATGAAGAAAAGTGGTGTTCTTTTCCTCTTGGGCATCATCTTCCTGGTTCTGATTGGAGTGCAAGGTAAGGGGTTCTGAGTTAGGTTGCAAAGTAAGAGAAGTGATTCACTGTAGAAGAATCTTAATTAGCCAGATAAAGGTGAATGTTCTGCCTGCATTGAAGAGTAATATTTGGTCACCCATAAAAGCTTCTCAGTGACATGATCAGTTATCCAAAGTTCATAACTTAGATCTGCCAAGTCAAACACAAGTCTTTGTAGTCTAGGTGTATGAATTCCTAGTAAGTGTTCAATAAATGTTCATTGAACTGGGTAATAGTGAGATGAAACTCTATCTCCTAAATTATTTTCTTCTCCCTGATACTGTTTTTTGATAAGTAAATCTGTGGCTAACCAATTAAGGATCCAACCAATAATCAGAGAGGTTGTCCCTAATCTATTTACTAGCTATCTTTGTTACCTTAAACAAATTACTTAATCTTTCTAGACCTCAGTTTCCTCATCATCTGTAAAATAGAACTTTGTAGTTATACCTTTTCTGACTGCTACACAATGTACGGCATGTAATACAATAGGTACCAAGTAAATATATGAATTTAAGAATTAAGATAATGTATTTTAAGGGGTTTCCAAAAATTTTAAACACTATTGAAAAGCAAGGCAGTGGGAAGGAGAGAGGATGAGGATGGAAGTGGTGATTGGTTACAAAGGAGTGCTTTCTATTCAACACCAACACCAGTTCCATTCCCTAAGATCAGATAATAAATAATAAATGGTTTAGGAGTTGCTTAAGAAACTGTGATCAGCATAGCATACATGAATTAGTTATCTGTTTGTCTTGTGGTAGGCATTTATTAAATATTGTGAAAGTCTCTTTTTCTCCCAAGGACATAACGGTGTGGTAGTTAAGAGCAATGCCTTTGGACTCAGAGAGATCTGGGCTAAAACCCTGCCCCTGCTCCCTAAAAGCTGTATGACTTTGTTCTTAATCTTTCTGAACCTTAGTTTCCTTATGTATAAAATAGAGATGATACCTCCTTCAAAGGTTTGTGGTGATGATTTTTAGGCATTCAGTAAATGATAGCAATAATCATGACTCAGTCAAATGTATCATTTTGAGAGATCACCTAAACTGAAACACTGGCCTATACTGATGTGTTCTCTTTTTCTTTCCCTCAGGAACCCCAGTAATGAGGAAGGGTCGCTGTTCCTGTATCAACACCAACCAAGGGACTATCCACCTACAATCCTTGAAAGACCTTAAACAATTTGCTCCAAACCTTTCCTGTGAGAAAACTGAAATCATGTAAGTAACAACCCAGCTAACATGCATGCACCATATTGGCAAGAACATTAAATTTAGCATGAGTTTTACCCTTGGAGTGCTTGCCCATAGAAACACTTAAAAATCAGATGGTTAGCCCCTCCATAAACTTGGGCAGCTCCTTTCTTTTCTTCTCCTTAAAAATACAAGGAATTTCTGGTAGATTAGGCCCCAAGAATGACATATTACCAAAGTAACACGTGTTTATTGCACAAAATGTTTAATGCAGATAACACAATAGAAGAAAATTAAAATCACTCATAATTCTACCCTTGAGTGACAAATACTGTTAACCCCTTAGTATACAGTTTTCTAAATCTCCCTTACTTGCTTCATGTGTACATAACATAGATATGTATTTACATACACAATACATAAACACAAAAATTAAATCATACACTATACACTGTTTTGTAATCCACTTTTTCATTAACACTATATTGTGAACATTTTCTCATGTCAGTAAATCTCTAATAATGTCATTTTTAATGGCCAAACTGTATTTCATCATATGGATAAACCATAATTTATATGACCAGGATTGTTGTTGGAAATATAGATTATTTCCAAATTATTACTGCTGAAATAAAACTTATTGTGGCAGTATTGTGTCTGTAATTCTTTCCTTTCTAGAGATTAGAATTGCTAGGTTAAAGGATGTGTGCATATTTTGTCTTTATAAATCATCCTTGACTACTCTTATTCTCAGACTATACAGAAAAATTAAAGAAATATTTAAATTATTTCCAGACAGTCTACTGTAAGTAATTTTTAAAATTCAACCAGGGCCGGGCGCAGTGGCTCACACCTGTAATCCCAGCACTTTGGGAGGCTGAGGCAGGCAGATCACAAGGTCAAGAGATCGAGACCATCCTGGCCAACGTGGTAAAACCCCGTCTCTACTAAAAATACAAACATTAGCTGGGCGTGGTGGTATGCGCCTGTAGTCCCAGCTATTTGGGAGGCTAAGGCAAGAGAATCACTTGAATCCAGGAGGTGGAGGTTGCAGTAAGCCAAGATGGCACCACTGTTCTCCAGCCTGGTGACAGAGCGAGACTCAGTCTCAAAAAAAAATTCAACCAGTGACTCTTCTTGTCCTAGGAAATAATTTTAAGCAGTTTCATTAGAAAATTCAGCAAAATTCATATTGATTTTCATTATTTCTGAGAAAAAGCATTTAAATTATTAATGAGAAAAAACTATCTCATTTTTATTTATTTTGCAGTGCTACGCTGAAGAATGGAGATCAAACATGTCTAAACCCAGATTCAGCAGATGTGAAGGAATTGATTAAAAAGTGGGGAAAACAGGTTGGTGAAAAGGAGGATCAAAGATTTCTTTCTTTTAGAAATTAACTTTAGAAGACAAGGAATCTGCTTTTTCATTAACACTATAAGAATACATAACTTTTAAGAATACATGTTTCATTCATATTATGGTGCTTCTATTTTGTTCCTAGGACAAAATTAGGTTCCTATATATAGTATCTCCTCTCTGTCTTCCACGGGAGGAATGTGTGTTCCTTGGGGGTACAGAGCTTGTCCTTATTTAATACAATAAGTATGTAAAGAATTTAATGGTAGACACAGAAGATACAAAGATAATAAGGTATAATCCCTTCCTGTTGTAGCACATATGCTAATAATTATGATACAATGTGAGAAGTATAAAAGTATGCACAAGAATCTTGAAGACATAAAGGAGGGAGTACTTAACTTTGCTGGGGGAATGGGGCAGGAGAAAGTGTTAAGGAAGATTTCTCATGTCAGGTGATACTTGATTTGGGTGTTGAAGTATAAGTAATTTGCCAGGAAGGTGAGGAGAGCGTGGGCAGTCAGTAAATGATAGCAATAATCATGACTCAGTCAAATGTATCATTTTGAGAGATCACCTAAACTGAAACACTGGCCTATACTGATGTGTTCTCTTTTTCTTTCCCTCAGGAACCCCAGTAATGAGGAAGGGTCGCTGTTCCTGTATCAACACCAACCAAGGGACTATCCACCTACAATCCTTGAAAGACCTTAAACAATTTGCTCCAAACCTTTCCTGTGAGAAAACTGAAATCATGTAAGTAACAACCCAGCTAACATGCATGCACCATATTGGCAAGAACATTAAATTTAGCATGAGTTTTACCCTTGGAGTGCTTGCCCATAGAAACACTTAAAAATCAGATGGTTAGCCCCTCCATAAACTTGGGCAGCTCCTTTCTTTTCTTCTCCTTAAAAATACAAGGAATTTCTGGTAGATTAGGCCCCAAGAATGACATATTACCAAAGTAACACGTGTTTATTGCACAAAATGTTTAATGCAGATAACACAATAGAAGAAAATTAAAATCACTCATAATTCTACCCTTGAGTGACAAATACTGTTAACCCCTTAGTATACAGTTTTCTAAATCTCCCTTACTTGCTTCATGTGTACATAACATAGATATGTATTTACATACACAATACATAAACACAAAAATTAAATCATACACTATACACTGTTTTGTAATCCACTTTTTCATTAACACTATATTGTGAACATTTTCTCATGTCAGTAAATCTCTAATAATGTCATTTTTAATGGCCAAACTGTATTTCATCATATGGATAAACCATAATTTATATGACCAGGATTGTTGTTGGAAATATAGATTATTTCCAAATTATTACTGCTGAAATAAAACTTATTGTGGCAGTATTGTGTCTGTAATTCTTTCCTTTCTAGAGATTAGAATTGCTAGGTTAAAGGATGTGTGCATATTTTGTCTTTATAAATCATCCTTGACTACTCTTATTCTCAGACTATACAGAAAAATTAAAGAAATATTTAAATTATTTCCAGACAGTCTACTGTAAGTAATTTTTAAAATTCAACCAGGGCCGGGCGCAGTGGCTCACACCTGTAATCCCAGCACTTTGGGAGGCTGAGGCAGGCAGATCACAAGGTCAAGAGATCGAGACCATCCTGGCCAACGTGGTAAAACCCCGTCTCTACTAAAAATACAAACATTAGCTGGGCGTGGTGGTATGCGCCTGTAGTCCCAGCTATTTGGGAGGCTAAGGCAAGAGAATCACTTGAATCCAGGAGGTGGAGGTTGCAGTAAGCCAAGATGGCACCACTGTTCTCCAGCCTGGTGACAGAGCGAGACTCAGTCTCAAAAAAAAATTCAACCAGTGACTCTTCTTGTCCTAGGAAATAATTTTAAGCAGTTTCATTAGAAAATTCAGCAAAATTCATATTGATTTTCATTATTTCTGAGAAAAAGCATTTAAATTATTAATGAGAAAAAACTATCTCATTTTTATTTATTTTGCAGTGCTACGCTGAAGAATGGAGATCAAACATGTCTAAACCCAGATTCAGCAGATGTGAAGGAATTGATTAAAAAGTGGGGAAAACAGGTTGGTGAAAAGGAGGATCAAAGATTTCTTTCTTTTAGAAATTAACTTTAGAAGACAAGGAATCTGCTTTTTCATTAACACTATAAGAATACATAACTTTTAAGAATACATGTTTCATTCATATTATGGTGCTTCTATTTTGTTCCTAGGACAAAATTAGGTTCCTATATATAGTATCTCCTCTCTGTCTTCCACGGGAGGAATGTGTGTTCCTTGGGGGTACAGAGCTTGTCCTTATTTAATACAATAAGTATGTAAAGAATTTAATGGTAGACACAGAAGATACAAAGATAATAAGGTATAATCCCTTCCTGTTGTAGCACATATGCTAATAATTATGATACAATGTGAGAAGTATAAAAGTATGCACAAGAATCTTGAAGACATAAAGGAGGGAGTACTTAACTTTGCTGGGGGAATGGGGCAGGAGAAAGTGTTAAGGAAGATTTCTCATGTCAGGTGATACTTGATTTGGGTGTTGAAGTATAAGTAATTTGCCAGGAAGGTGAGGAGAGCGTGAACAGAAGAGTAGAATCATGAGAGAACTTGCTGTGTTCAGGGAGCCTCCATTAATGTGGCTGGAGTTTATGTGAAGAGAATGAAGGGACTGAGGCAGAAAAGTAGATCAGGATAAAGCAGGAGGAATCCTGCATGGCACACTAAGGAGTTGGATTTGAAGAGAGCCACAGAATATGTGGGTGGGAGATTGGGTTCTGGAGTCTCACAGACTGGTGGTTCTGCCACATACTAGCTGTCCAGTTTTGGGAAAGTCACCCTCTCCAAGCCTCAGCCTCCTCCTATGTAAAACGTGGAAATAGTGCCAACTTCAGAGGGTTGTAGCTGGGGCAGGAGAGTGGTAAGCACGGTTGCCAGGAGAATGTAGTAAGTCAGAAGAATAGACAAAAGACAGCCAGTTAGAAGGCTGTTGCCTCCTCCTCAAAGTAAGCAAAGTAGAGAGAATGTAAAGGAGCCCCTCTGAGAGTGAAGCAACTTTAATGTGGTTTTGAGAGTAAAGAAAGACTATGATCAGGAGAGTCCAAATATAAGGAGGTTAAAATGGTAAGATTCAGAAACATTGCCCTTTTTTCCCTTCTCACAGGTCAGCCAAAAGAAAAAGCAAAAGAATGGGAAAAAACATCAAAAAAAGAAAGTTCTGAAAGTTAGAAAATCTCAACGTCCTCAACAAAAGAAGACTGCATAAGAGACCACTTCCCCAATAAGTATTCTGTGTTAAAAATGTTCTGTTTTAATTATACCAAGATCATTCCAAAGGAGGATGGTATATAATACAAAGGCTTGTTAATTTGACTAGAACATCTAAAACATTACTCTGAAATTGTAACTAAAGTTAGAAAGTTGATTTTAAGAATCTAAACGTTAAGAATTGTTAGAGGCTATGATTGTCTTTGTTCTTCTACTGCCCACCAATTGAATTTCATCATGCTTAAGGCCGTGATTTTAGTAATACCCATGTCTACACAGATGCTCACACAACCACATCCCACACACAACAGCTGTCTGGAAGAGCAGCCCTAGGCTTCCACGCACTGCAGCCTCCGGAGAGTATCTGAGGCACATGTCAGCAAGTCCTAAGCCTGTGAGCACGCTGGTGAGCCAAGCAGTTTGAAATTGAGCTGGACCTCACCAAGCTGCTGTGGCCATCAACCTCTGTATTTGAATCAGCCTACAGACCTCACACACAATGTGTCTGAGAGATTCATGCTGATTGTTGTTTGGTATCACCACTGGAGATCACCAGTGTGTGGCTCTCATAGCCTCCTTTCTGGCTTTGGAAGCCGTGTGATTCTATCTTGCCCGCTCAGGCTGACCATTTTATTTCTTTTTGTTCCCCTTTGCTTCATTCAAGTCAGCTCTTCTCCATCCTACCACAATTCAGTGCCTGCCTCCTCTCCAGTGTACATGTCATATGCTCTGATTTATCTGAGTTGACTCCTTTCTCACCTTGTCCCCAACAGCCCACAGAAATGCTTTCTTCTCCCTATTCATCCTCACTCAATCCAGGTTAGTTCAAGTCCTGACTCTTAAATAAACCGTTCTGGACACACAAGTTATCTTAAAACTCCTATTTCACTTGGTTCAGTACCACATGGGTGAACACTAAATGGTTAACCAATTCTTGTGTGTTCATCCTATCTCTCCAACCAGATTGTCAGCTCCTGGAGGGCAAGAGCCACAGTTTATTTCCCTGATTCTTCCACAGTGCCTAATAATACTGTGGAACTAGGTTTTAATAATTTTTTAATTGATGTTGTTATGGGCAGGAGGGCAGTCAGACCATTGTCTCAGAGAAGGTGCTGGTTCCTTCCTGGCTACTCCATGTTGGCTAGCCCCTGGTAACCTCTTACTTATTATCTTCAGGACACTCACTACAGGGACCAGGGATGATGCAACATCCTTGTCTTTTTATGACAGGATGTTTGCTCAGCTTCTCCAACAATAAGAAGCACGTGGTAAAACACTTGCGGATATTCTGAACTGTTTTTTAAAAATATACGGTTTACCGAAAATCATATAATCTTGCAATGAAAAGGACTTTATAGATCAGCCAGTGACCAACCTTTTCCCAACCATACAAAAATTCCCTTTCCCAAAGGAAAAGGGCTTTCCCAATAAGCCTCAGCTTTCTACGATCTAACAAGATAGCCACCAAGATCCTTTTCAAAACTTATTTTAGGCAAATATGAGTTTTATTGTCCATTTACTTGTTTCAGAGTTTGTATTGTGATTATCAATTACCACACTATCTCCCATGAAGAAAGGGAACAGTGAAGTATTAAGCGCTAGAGAAAGCAGCCAAGTCGGTTAGTGGAGGCATGATTGGTGCTCAATTAGCCTCTGCAGGACATGGAAACCTCCTTCCAGAGGAGGTTCAGTGAATTCTGTAGGAGAGGTTGTCTGTGGCCAGAATTTAAACCTATACTCACTTCTCAAATTGT